GCTGGATATGGGCACCAGTGACCCACGCGACCCTGAAAAGGAAGAAGCGTGTACAGAAAATGGATGGATGGATGGTTAAAGATGTTATAAATGCCGTAACTTTCTGTTTGCTCTTAGTCACAACTACGTTGAATACAGTAGGAATGACAAAGACTTGGTGTCTCAGATTTTTTGTTTTGTTTTTTTAATGCTACGTTTTGACAGCTGTTTYTCTCGTTTCTTGTGTTTGCAGGCCTCGTCCAGATCATTACTTTCCTGACCTCCACCATTTAAAGTTTGAGATTGAGGAGGGATCGATGCTGGATGGCCGGCCGGTCCGATTCGGATATAACCTCCTGGAGTTCCCAGACTTTAGTTGGAGAGGTTATGCTCAGATGTCCCCCATCCAGGTAGGAGCAGAACCTTTTACCCCTCACCTTTGACTGTTCTTATTGATCCACATTAAATGATTTTATTTCTTGAGTGGTTTTAACAACACCTGTAATTATTACCAGCTTGTACTGCATTTATTGTCTTCTCGGGGATTACCTTTGATTTKTGATGATGAATTAATTGTAGTGTTTTATAAAGATGCTGAATGTATTCTACAGATACCTGTGAGACTGTGGCCCATCCTTTATTCTAACATGATTTGTTCATRTTGAGACATTTCTCTTTAGTTAAACKTCTCCTCAACTCATCCTGGGTGTATCATCGTTGCGAGTTTCAGGAACAMATTAGACCTGATAGATCTATGATTGTTTTAATCACACAACTTCTTTCTATATTTAACATCCAGATGTGGGTCATGGAAAGAGTTGAGAGGTTGTGAAGGGAGTGTTAAACAACAGATTTGAACAGTGCTGGAAAATCAATTTGCTTATTAAAACAATAATGAAAGAAAGTGTAAAGCTATGAAATGATTTTGCCATTCAGATAGTTTTAGGTAGRCCTGAGAGTTTGAGTTGATTGGAGGAAAACTAAAAAGAAACGTCTTTCCTTGTGTTTGGTGATAAATATTTGTGTCTTTGCTCCTGGATGTAAAGGTGGTGGGTTGAAGATCTTTCTTGTATTTCTTCATCTGTATAAATGTTTTACGTCCATCCTGTCTCTCTCTACTGTTTTGGGTTTTTTTGATTCTCTACTGTTATCTGTTCTTCCTGGTCTCTCTCTCTCTCTCTCTCTGTCTCTCATTTCCTTCCTTCCCTGCTGTCTCATCAGTCCAAAGTGTTGGTGTCGGTGTTGGTCACCTCTCCAGACCTCTTCCATGTAGTGCTTCGTTATGCYAACTGGGGTGGTTCTGCTGTTCGGGGCAGGGTGGCGATCGTAGAGGACAGCTGGAATTACTACTTTGGGAATTGTAAGTGTTAGGAAGGAATTCTGTTTGTTCTTGTCTTCATGCTTTATSATTTCTTTTCCTTCACTTCAATGCTTCAGTGTTCCAAATACCCAAGAAATACCAAGAGGTACTTTGGCTTGAAAAGAAAGTTCGTTTATGGTTTCTCAGTGAGAACTTTGAGTTTAGCCAAGATTCCCAGATTCTGTGTTCCCAGGACAGCTGAGAGACATTCTGTCCAGCGTGTCCTAGTCTTCCTCGGGGTCTTCTCCCAGTGGGACAAGCCTGGAACATCTCTTTAGAGAGGCGTCCAGGAGGCATCCTCACCAGATGAACCACCTGAACTGACTCCTCTCGATGTGGAGGAGCAGCAGCTCTACTCTGAGTCTCTCCTGGAGAACTGAACTTCTCAGCCTGTCTCTGAGGGAAAGTCCAGCTACCCTGCAGAGAAAACTCATTTCAACTGCTTTCATCCAAGATCTCGTTCTTTTGGTCACTGCTCAAAGTTCATGACGAGGTGAGGGTAGGAACATAGACTTATCTGTAAACAGAGAGCTTCTGCTTACAGCTCAGCTCCCTCTTGAGTCACAACAGACCAGTACAGAGTCCACAAAACTGCAAAAGCTGCACTGATCCRTCTGTATATCTGAACCTCACCCACAACCCAGAGGGAGCAATCCACCCTTTTCCAGCTGAGGACCATGGACTCAGGTTTGGAGGTTCTGATCCTCATCCCAGCTGTGAAATGAGGAGCACAGTATGATGACGCCGTCGCCAACAGGACCACATAATCTGCAAACAGCAGCGACAAGTCCTGAACCTGTTTGTTACCAAATGGGACCTTTTCCTCAATAAAAACTAACAATGCACTTCAGATTTTTGAGACTTAAATAAAAGTGTCATATTACACTGTGACTATCAGCCTGTTGCAGTTTGAGACGGTCAGTAGGTCAGTTTTATTATCAGAACAGCAACAAACTAAACAAATTGTGTCATGTAAAAGTGTAGTAGTTAAATCAGGGGTGTCAAATTCTGGAGGTTTTTCTNACTTGGCACCAGGACACCCTAGGCCGCAGTTCGATGATCGATTTTGTCATCGTTTCATCGGATCTGCGGCCGTATGTCACGCAGGTGGTGCAATTAACCGCAGGAACCAGTCAGGAAGAAACACACAAAAACTCCATTCATGATACCTGGTTTGAATAAATAGATGATTAACAGGCTTCTGTAGAACTTGAGGTAGTTCAGTCACTGAATCAGGTGTGTTGGAGCAGAGAAACAAGGAAAGCAGCCCTCAGGAACCAGTTTAGACACCTGTGGGTTAAATAGTTCCTAATGTAGCATTCTTTCATACTGCTGTGTTGTTTTAGAAAAAGTGATTTTCTAAATCTGGAAAATATCAAATAAAATAGAATAAAATCAGGCTCTCGATTGGCTAGCTATTAGCTTAGCCTCGGTAAAGGTTTCTGGCCTTTTCTTCTCACCCCATGCTCTCTGACTGATGTCAGGCTGATAATAGTATGAATTAATTAGTTAATAAATTTTACTGATAATTATTTGCCAAAGGTAACTTAAAAAAATAACCAAACAATTTATTTAATGTCTTCAAACTAAAGATAGGTTTCAGTTTAAAGTTCTTCTGCTTCTGTTTGTTCCTCCGTCCTGTTTGAAGGTGCGTTTTGATGCATGCCTGTGCTCCTCCTCTCTAAGCTCCTCCTCTCTAAGCTCCTCCTCTCTAAGCTCCTCCTCTCTCCTTGTTCCGGGCCACAGATTAGTTCAGGATTTAGAGGTTTTACAAAGAAAACAAAATACTTCCTGCTTTTTAAATGCTCTGCCCCCCCTCCTGATCTGTCTCTTCCTGGATCTGGTTCCTGTAGACTGCAGTGAAGATTCAGGTTCATGTGAGCGAGGCAGACGTCTATTTGACTCGTTTTATCCTCAGATATGTCAATTCTGAGGGCTTCACCTCCAACGGTAAAATAACAGCCTATCAGGTGAACCGCAGAGGTAGGTCTCCACCGCAGACCATCACTGTCCTTCCTCTTGCTTTCTCTGGAGTCTCATCAACTTAAAAAAACATCAAAATCATTTATTTTACCTTGTTTTTAATTTATCACCATGCAAGGTGGAGGTGGTCTGGTCTGTTTGTCTGCAACATTAGCTAAATATTTCATGAATTAATGAACATATGTAAGGAATATTTAAGGAATTATTTGGTATATGTCTACAACTCTCTAATATGCAGGACCAAAACTGACAGAATTAGAAATAAAAGCAAAAATTTGTAAATGGACCAATAAATAAC